GTAAAAAATGTTGGCACGATTTCTGGTTGTTCACAATTTCGTTGGAGTTCAGAGTTGATTTTGGGTTATGTTGGATTGGGGTTTTGGTGGTGACCGGTGGCGCTAAGGAAAAGTGGGGGTCTATTGGGTGGTCTGATTGTTTCTAGTTGTTCACAACTGGCGGCGTTGTGAAAGTCTAGACTTATTGGCGGAGTTAGTTTGGGGTTTTTGTTGTTGTTGTTGTTGTTGTTGGTTCTCATTTATAGTTGTTGGTTGAAGCTTGTCGGAAATGGTGAGAACGAAGGTAGTTTGGTCGGAGAAGGTGAGGAGGACGAGAAGAAGGCAATAAGTTTGGGTTTGGTTTGGAACTGAAACAAGGGGTCAATGTCAAAAATTATTTGAGTTTTTTTGTTTGATTTTCAACTTATCTAGGTAGGTTTTCCAATTTATTTTTGAATTTATTTGTTTTTTAGTTTGGATTTGATCTTTATTTGTGTCTTTGTTTGATTTTGGGATTTTAATCAATTACATTGACTTTGTTGAAATTCTTTGGGGATTTTGCATTTTTGTGCCTAATGTTAGTGTAAGATATTTCGGTAGTAGTGTTATGCCTTCCATGGTGTTTTTCATTAGAAAAAAGAGAGCCGTATAATAACAAGAAACGATAGAGAAGAAATTTTTGGGAAAAAGATCGGAAAAGAGGCCAAGAAAACCTCAAATTTTGTCCAACAATGGTGTTAGATGCAAATAGGAAGATGATGGCTTTACAAAGCCCTAATGTGACTGTCAGACACTTTTCCAAGGGTCTCACGCTTCTAATAGGTGTGTGTCACACGCTCTTTAGTAGTAACTGCCACATAGGATGTCAAGTCAAAAAATGTGTTTAAAATATTGCGTTTTGATGAGTTCAGGGGTTCAGATGACAAATGAGTAAGTAGAAGAGTTCACAATACAAACACATACAAATACAAGGGTCCACCAGACCATTTCGTCTTTAATTTATTGCAATCTTGTTTAGCCCACTATTCTTTATTACTTGCTTAAATATAAAATCATATATATATATATATAAGAAAACCTTAGGCCCGTCTACGTGGCGCCATCATAAATTAGGATTCTCTTTTAATTTATTTATTTTCAAAACTATATTTTACCCTTGCATGAAAAGTTGTGACTTTTACGAAGAGATGCGATTTTTATAAAGGGTTGTGACTTTTTCAAAGGGTTGTAACTTTTCCAAAGAGTTGTGACATTTCCGATAAGCCACAATAAGCATTTGTTCACACTACCATTTGTTGTCTATATATAGAGGAATTTCTTCTCATTCAAACCATGAAAATCCTGAACTTCTTTTTTTTTTTTTTTGCGCAATTAAATATTCATGTATTTTAATTTGCTCATGTTGAGTGACTCACTAACACCATTGTTTTTGTGTCAATACACTTGTGAATAGAATCATTCTACCTTGAAAGGATCTATTCCTTTAAACCTCGGGTACTAAAGAGGAATAATTTCCTTAAGGGGACACTGTGCATTCAGTGGACTTGATTTTTTCCGTTCTGTTTCATTCTATTGTTACAGATCCTGGTATGTGTTTTTACAACCATTAATTTATGTTTATGTTATTAATTATTTTTTTAGTACATGTTTTGAACTTTGTTGTTTATGTTTTTGCAAAAAGTTATAAGTATTTGTTAGTACAAATTAAATAACACACGTTAATTGAGTATTCACGTAAGTTTTCTCTACTGAAATTGTTGAAGGTACAATAAAACAATTCTTTAAAGATATGTACTACCATCTCTTGAAGACAAAATTCAAATTTGGTATGCCGTTGTAAGGACATAAAACCTTAAAAACTTTATCGCACCTTGATGTGCGAAGTGAACTAGGAAAATATGATAAGAGTAAGGGTCTGTTTGGAAAGCCACTTGGTAATTGGAATTGGTGTAATTACTAGGGTAGTAATTACCAGTCTAGTAATTACACTGACTTGTTTGGTTGCCAAATTACACTGTAATTACACATGTCATTTTTGGATGCCACGGCGTAATTACACATGTTTTTTTTTATGCACAATTGCAATCATAAAATTATATTAAATTTTAAAAATAAAATTTAATTATTTAAAATTTATACTAGACAAATAAGAAACTTTATAAATAACATTAAATTAAATATTTAAGATATATATCCTTTTTAAAAATATATTAATTAATAAACATATATTCTTTAGCCTATATTATGAAAAAATAATTGATTTATATTTTTTCAAATTAATAAATTTCAATTGAATTGATCGTAAAAACTAAAAGTATGAAGTTTCTACGAATATTGTGAAATGGATGTTTGATAAAAAAATTAATATATAAATAAAATGTCATAAATTATTAAATATTTGACAAAAAGATAATCTATCAAGTTTATTAAAAAATGACGTGCAATGTGAATTCAATATTACTAAAACAAATGAAACTGAAAAAATAACATAAGTTATAAATTCAAAACAAAAAATTTAACATGATACTCTTATAGCAAATTTCAACATAGGATGCATAAATATGATTTATTTTTATTTTTTTCTTAAAAAGAAAATGTAAGTCTATAACCTTACTTAACAATAAATTCTATTTAATTTAAAAATTAGAATACTAATAAAATTATGCTAATGAGAAAATAAGTATGGCATAAGGAAATAGATAATACGAAAAAATTGCATAGAATCATGTAAAGTAAGGTTGAGAACAAGAAGAAAATGAAATATAGTAATATAAAATAAAAAATAAAATTTAAAAAAAATTAGAATAATAAAAATAAAAAAAGAACTTAAAATGATAGAAGTAAAAAAATTAAAAAAACTAAAAAAATAATAATTAAAAAGTAATCAGATGATAATTACACCATGTAATTACCAGCAATTCACAGTCTCTGTCTGTGAATTGTAGAGTGTAATTACCCCATGTCAATTACACCAATTACCTGCTGACCAAGTAATTACATGTCCAACCAAACAGGACAAACAATGTAATTACACCCAATTACACCAAATCCAATTACCAGGGTGTCCTTCCAAACAGGCCCTTAATAAATTTTTGACATGAGTTCAAGGATAAATTATAAAATCAAATTAAAGATGATTGATCAAAGGATAAATGATAAGATGTTATAATTATCATTTTCTTTACATTATTAATGTTCGTTACTACGTAATCTTGTATGTAAGATAATCTTGTGTTTTAATTTTAATGACTGATAAATTTTAAGTATTATTTTATAAATTTCGTAATATTAAATTTCTGCGCAAGGCGCGGATAATTTTACTAGTATATTAATATATTAAAATAAAAGCAATTAAAGTGCAATGGTTATAGTTTGGCCAGTTACTAAAGTGGCGGCTAGGTCTCTTTATTTTGCTGAGGATAATTTCTGACACGTTGAGTCCTTATTCATGTCTTCATTTACTTAGACAAATTCATTTATTAAAAAAAATAAAAAATAATATACATGCATTTTGAATTGGTGGCAGTGTCTTCCACGATTTTCTTGATTCAAAATTCTTTTTTAAAGAATGTATTGCATGAATATTATTTTACTCTTTTCTCTTATGTGATTAATGTTTAATTACATCATATGGATTATGATTTTATATTAATAAATAGTTATAGTAACGGTACTCTATTTATTTGAAATTATTAAAAATTATTTATGTCTATACATGTGAGAGGTTATATACGAGTCCCGAACCGAAGCCCAAGCCCATACTCTGACTAAGAAAAGTGGAAGTTCCATACATAAATTAAAAATTGTCTTAAGTGAATATTAGTGGTGAATTTTTTTTGAATAGAAATTTACCTTGAGATGCTAGTAATGCTTAATTAATTAATGAAAAGAGATATTAAAGGTTATTACTGATTTAAAAGGGAGAAACATAATTTCTTGAATTCTCAGATGTATTAATTGAGAGTACAATTTGTTGTAAGGAGGTTTATTAGTTGTGTGTCTTAGTCAAAGAAAAGAACGGTATGTTTTGTGCTCATGGGATAGTTATTAAAAGAGAATAAAAATCTGAATCATGTTATTTTAATCTTTAATTATGTTTAAAATAGTTATTTTTCAAATTTGGTCATAGTTTAGGTGATCATGAATTTTATGATATATATGACTTGAAATTTGATGGCTCCATCAAAAATTGTTTAGATAAATTTTAGGTAGTTTGTCGGATTAAAATTTGGTCATAGCTTATATTTTGGCATAAAGGAGAAGTTGTGTCCAAATCGATCAATGCAACTGCACATCTTTGAATGTGAGGGTATTTATAAAAATATATAGCTTATATTCAAGAAACATAAATGTGTCTCAAAATGATCATATTTTACTATTTCTCTATTTAAAAGTAGTTTTATTTTTATTGATTACTAATATCTTTTAGGAAGATAAATTGCATAGTATTATAGTAATAAATTATTAGAAATAATAAATTTTTTTTGAAAGAGATATTAAAATTGATTAACATCTCATAATAATTTTTATATCATTACATGTAAAATAATGTTAGAAGTTTTAATTTCTATGAGTTTCATTAATTATTTCAAACTATTGATGTATTTTTATAATTTTGTGTTATTATATTATTTTACTAAATCACAAATTAAAATTAAAATATTCATGGGGCTTACTCTACGCCGTGTGCTAAGTAAAACATCTTACCTCATGCCTCCGCCTTACAAAACATCATATATAACTAATACTTGCATTCTATTGTGTATTACTAATGATATTAATAATGCAAATGATTTTAATGTATGCATTGGCAATATTAAAGATTCAAATGTCCCTTAAAATCTTTTTAAGGGGGGATACTTTTAGCTGCAAAGATTCTTTTGGAAATTATACGGTACATATTATTTTGAATATTTCAAAGAAAGTATATATACTTTTATCTTGTGACTCAAGTCAAGTTAGCTAGATCTACATATGGGGCGCCAACCCAGACCCCTTTTTTTTTCTTTTCTATTGATCAATAAGCAAAAAATCTGTTGTAAGTCTTTCAAACAGACAGAAACATGGATTCAAGTTGAAATCATGTGATATAGTGAAGTCCGCACAAAAAACAAAAACAAAAACAAAGTTGTTAATCAACCCTATATATACATGATCATCAATTTCAAAATCTAATACTCCGTTAACATTCATTGGTCATAGCCGAAATTCATCGGAGGGATAAAACCAAAATAAAGAAGAAAAAGAAAGGGAAGTTTTTTTCTTTCTTTCAATCCAATATCCTATCCATCACACATCACACATCACATCACATCACATCTGCTCAAAGCCATAGAAAGAATTAATTAAGACCAATAAACATATAGAGTCACACGATTAACATATTATAAAACTTACTTCAAAATAAAAGCAGTAACAACTATATATGTCTAGGCTTCTAAATGATTGATACCTAGGCTAATTACTGCTAATTCAAATTTGAAACTGCTAAAAAGTATAGGACACACATTAATAATGTTAACGTACCTTAACATTTCTTGCTTCCGGTGGCATGATGATATTCTGATGGTAATAACTCACCTAATGTCTTGCCAAGTTTTATTTCATAAGAGTTGGCAAGTTCAAACCTAAAGACCAACAAATCAAGTGTATGATTACATACTAATCAATGAAAATAATGGATATCCCCAACGTAACTTACCAGTAAGCCAGAGACTCAAATGGATGATAAATCTTGTAGAATTCTTGTATTTTCGCTTTTGTTTCCACACTAATTGGTCCCTTTTTACGCTTTCTCATATTAAGTCCATGAAACTGAAATCATGACAAGTAAAATGTAAATATACATAAGAGGACTTAAGAAATACTATTACCTCCATCAGCAAATGATCCATGTGTAATGTTAGTTATTTTTGATGATATGCAGAGAAACAAGTTTGTTACCTCTTTCATATGACGCAACGTTTCAGTATCAATTGGAATATTATGATAGTGTCCAATACACATCATGATAGTATTAGTGGTAAAAGGACCAGCACCATTTATCTTCAACTTAGAGTAGTGCCCTTCATCAGCACTATCAAACTTAATTTTTCCATTAGCAACTTGTTTAGCCAACTTAATCAAGTCCCCTGCTCTATATCCAAATTTCCCTTTGTCGTTTAGCTCTTCCTCTCTAAAACTTGCTAATTCTCTCGGGCTCAGGAAGTCTCCAATATTTGCTCTCTTTCTTTTCGACATTCTGACTTTTTTCAGTTGTACATCACAAAGAGCCTTTGCCAGATCCAAAGATGTCTTCCACCTGATTCATTTAATCTATATATCTTAGTTTACTTCAAAGTTTGAGTTTTACAAATTGCTTGTATATAATATATGATTAACTTACGGGCAAAAGCGAAGAAGAAGAGACTTGGCCACATCTTCAAATAAGGTTGGTGATCGAAACAACCGACCAAATCCTTTGGCCTCAGCATGTGGATGAAGCTTATGAAAATATGTGACATCTTGTTCATCCTTATCAGAGAGTCTCAGCATTCTCTTCACCTGAGACTATACATACATAGAAAACAAGTCATCAGGTTCTTTTTTTTTTTTTTGTGAGGAGATGGAGACAGAACATACCTGAATGGCTCCCTCATCCTTAGAGGAAAGAATAGTTGCACCATAAACCGTAATGACAAGATGATCCTCTCCTGGAGGCTGTGAAATGAAAGTGAGAGCTGATCTGATGGAATCATCTAATCGTAGAGGACGAGAAAAGGTTTTAGTAGATGGATCCCAATGGTTGGGAGCCATCATGAAAAAGCCGTGGTTGCACACGGCTTTTTCCAAGTTGAATCTTGGAAACTTATCCAAGCTGATAGTGAATTTCCAAGATGGTAGTGTTAATGTTGTCATTTATACAATCAGAAGTGTGGCCTACAATCTCTAAAAACTTAGTTTTTGCATTTGATAGATATCTTGTTTTATATAGTGGTTTAGATTACTAAAATTAAGCTCAAAATAGTTGCATATACAATATAAATAAAAAACTTGTCATTGTATCACTTCTTTCTTTTTTGTAGAATAAGATGAAGAGACCCTAATGGCCTAGATTCACTCTATTACACAAGTCACATCACAAAAATTAGTCTACTTTTTTACCAAATATTTTTGACAAGTTATTTTTGGGTAAAGTTTCACCATACGTTTAACCATAGATTTTGTAAAAAGTATTTAATTTTTTTTAAAAAAATAATAATTTATACCTATAATTTCTAAAAACTATTAAAATGAACATATTCCGTGTAAAAGGAACGAGAGCAGAGAAATGTTTAATTGTTGGAATCACAACAAAGTTTTAAAAAAGAGCATTTCAGCAATGATTTGTATATAGTGAGTTTTCTCTTTTCACCAACATGCATGCCTATAAGGTTATAGCTTAGCCACGCATTATAGAATGCTTAAGATATAAAGAAAATAGTTTCAGTCCACGAAATGGTTACCTTCAATGCCAATGTTCAATCCCTTTGACACTTTTTCCAAACCTGATCAAAGACATCAAAATAAGAATATAAAGGGATAATCAGTTAAGTTAATGGTGGAGCAGAGTAACTTTTATTATCAGGACAGAGTGAGGAGATCTTTCTAGGAAAACATGGGAAGAACTAAAAAAATCCACGTAAACTGTTCATCCAGACAACTCACAGAGCAGTGATTGTGTTCGAGAGTAGAGAGAGAGAGACCTAGACAAAATTGATGAGGAGCTGCACCAATGGTTGAGCCAACAATGCATCCTGTATCTCTTAATTTGGCGATGAAATGAATTTTGATCTGGACAAAAGAAAGGATCATTCAGCAGCATGACGTTTGCACCATCTGTATCTGAATTTTCAAATAGAATCACCTGTTTTCCTGGAGAAGCTACTTTCCCGTCCGCTTTTCCCTTCACCATCACCTCAACAGCCGGTCCATCCGGTAATGTATGTATCTGTGATGATGTGGCACTCTCATTGATATCCTTAGAATTAGCAACTGCGCTCCGATTTTCCTTCTCCAACTGAGATTGTATACTGAGTCACAATACTTTTCTTGGTTTTCGATCTTCCTTTTTTTTTCCTTTCTCTCCTGAGAATGACACATTTCACTTACTGATTTGGGACTTGTGTCTGAAGGTCTGCATATTCATAGCGCAAGGGGAAACCAGTTACACAAGAAACTAAATGTCAAAACTAAAAAAGTCATCCATAAATTTAGCAGTAAACAGAAGATGATAAAATAGTACTCCCTCCGTCCCATTTTATGTGGCAACATTTGACCGGGCACGGAGTTTAAGAAATAAATGAAGACTTTAAAATGTTTACCAAATTGCCCTTTAAAAAGTAGACTCTTTTTTCTCTCTCCTCATAAATGTATTGGAGTATTATTTTAAGATTAAGTGGGACCAACAAGGATAAAAGAGAAATTGTACCTTTATAAACTTACCATATAAGGAAATGTGACATTCTTTTTGGGACTGACCAAAAAGGAAATGTTGCCACATAAAATGGGACGGAGGGAGTAATACAAAGATCGTAGTACACTAATGAAAAAAAACATAATATGCCATGAAGAATTCCTACCGGCAGACTTGCCTTAAATTGACTTATCCTAGTACATCTTGCAAGTCATGTAATACTGTCGAAAAGGAAAACTTGAAAGGGAAACAAAAGGAAATAATAAAAAAGCTTGGTTTCGACATCCAATTGTAGCCAGTGGACAGTTTCCCTCGTTCATAGCCTTTGGTGTATCTTCCCGGAGTACGCAATCAGTTACTATATTTATAAGAGAGCCTTCTGAGGATACGACTAAGATTAACCTTTCAATCTCCCACCATGTAAGTTAGGCTTAAAAGGTCTAAGGTGACAGTACATTGTGGATTACTAATATAGTCAATCTTCCAAAGTAACATTGTTTTTGACCATGCGGATATTCCATGTCATATTAACTCAAATCATAGAATTAAAACTCTCCACGCCTAAGTATTCAGGGAACGGCACATATGCATACATTTCTTTAAATGGTGAACAAGAAATATCAATCTAAATAGCAGTCCGGTGCACAAAACATCCCACGTTAGCACGGTTTGGGGAAGGTCTACACCACAAGGGGAGTGAGGTGGACAGCCTAACCAAATGCAAGCATTAGTGGTTGCTTCCACGGCTTGAACTCGTGAACCTATATGCAGAGGCGGATCCAAGATTTTGAGATTTTGGGTGCCACACTATTTTTTTATTTGTTCTATTTTGAGCTTTGGTTTGGATAGTCTGTCTTTTTGATTTATATAGACAAGTCGATCGAACAAAATAATTTGATAATTGTGATATTTTTGGACAAAGCATAGAAGTCCAATAATATTACTAATATCAACAAAAATATTTTATGTATTTATAACTGGCCTTGACAAATTTTAATATTTTGGAGCTATCAACTCAAGGAAGGACATCTAGAACTAAAAGTCACTATAAATGCATATTTCGATGCTCAAAGCAAAAACTTAATAAACTTTATGAACTTAAAAGAGAAAGCAAGGGGTTTGCCTTCTAGGTCGAGCTCGTCGCACCGGGCTTGCCTAGTGCGGGTTACCTCTCCTATGTGGTTTGCGAGCTATTGCATATGAGCGGGGGTTTTACCCTGTGTGCACCCATAGGGTAGCGGCTGCGGGTTTCCACTGTCATAAGAAAAAAGAGAAGAGAAATGGCCAAATGACCCCCCAACCTATTACCAGATTTCCAACTACACACCTATTCTTCGCGGGAGTCCTATTACCCCCTAAACTACTTTAAAATGGAATAATAACCCCTTAAGTGTTGAGTTGGCATAGAGAGTGTATTTCACTCTCTTTGAGAGAGTGAGTTGCCTATTTATTTTTTTAATTTCCGTTTTTTTTTCTAATTTTCTTTTTTCTTTCTCTTTCTTCTTATTTATCTATGCAACATTTTTCACCATTATCATTGTTGAAGCTTTTTCAATGGATGTTTGGAATAAAAATTATCAACAACAAATGCATTTAATGAATAAATAATTTTTCAATAAACTTATTTAGAACATACCTAACAAATTAAATTTATTTTTAAAAAAAAAACATACCCATTAATTAATTTTTTTTAAAGTGATGGATTCAAGAGTAACAAAATCAAAGTGAAGTAATTGT